AAGCGTTTACTCCATTGCACGTGATGAAGGGAAGGCAACAGTTATAGCTGATAATCAACAATAATTACGCCAGCCAAATCATATGTGTTTGTCTTCTGTGTAATAGCGTACTATAAACACCTAACACTTTTATCAACTTTTACTGTTCGAATTCATAATGACTTGTTGAGAACAACAATAATATACAATTTAATAAAAGACGTTGAAAATTTTTAACGTGGGATCAAAATTTGAAATTAGGTTAGAATAAAGAGTGTTATTTTTTGGCATAAGTGATCTCATGAAATCTACTTGTTTGGTTTTTTCATATCTATCTGTTTACTTCATCTAAATAATGTATCATCAAAATTAATAAGGGATGTTTCTTCTATAAAATTACTGTTAGAAATGTAAAATTAAAAAAAAAATTATACTAAATGGGAACCAAAGCCTATATGAAAGACAAAATACTACATGTACAGTATTTCCTTGGGAAAACGCTCTGTTTTTCTGTAGTAATGGTAAGTTGGATAAATTTAACTATAGTTCCTTTTATTTATAAAAAAAACCATTAGTTATTTTTGAAAAAACGTTATCGTATATTTCTTGTGCAGTAACCTAATTTTCAGTATCACTGGTATGTCGAGAACTTCGTAGTCGATATGCAGTAACATATTATTCGAAGGCTAAATATTGGCAATCGTTACCTACATATGTGTAAATGATAATATACGTGACTACATTTTTACATTGTCCATCACCATTGTATTAGCATGGACCAACGGTGTCCGTAACAATGAATTCACACTAGCAAAGTAATACATTTTACACGGTTCTTGTACTTTATTAGTAACATTAAGTATTTCGTCTTTGAATTATTTAAATTTCCATCGTATCCTGTTCTTGGACCATCAACCAATCAGAGGCTGAGATTGTACAGCGGCGGTAACTTTCATCCCACTACAGCAATCTTAACTTCCTGTTCCCCACACACAACCACAAACCACGCTATGAAAACTAAACTGCAGCAAATAAAATACGTACGTTTAATCAGGGTAGAAAGTTGTCTGGGGAGAGAAATGTATTTATGCTACACATAGATACGTTTATTATATAATTATTTAAGAACCAATGTGATGGTGATGATGTCTTTTAGGTACAATAATTCATTGTTTTTATGGGGATTCTTAAAATGTTTGGGAAATAAAGTTCAAGGTGTCATGCTTAGGCAGAGGTAACCTTACACGCACGGAGCTTACTAATACTTAAAAATATGGTTTGTTCCACGTACATTTGTATTTTTGAGTATTGATATTTCGATATTTGTATTGGTAAGGGATGCGTATACGTCACTTAAAATAAGAAATACTAACTGAACTGCAAGTACATATTCTTCTATTTCTTTTCAGTTAAGTCAAAAGCATGTTTTTACTTTCAGTCACAATAAAATATTTTTTATCTGCCCTGGGTATTATGTCCAAATCATTTGGTACGATTCAAGCCCAAACTTGTTAAACTCAATGCTTCAAGTCTTCAAAACCTGAATTAAAATCGGTTTACGTTTCAGAGAAATGTAAATCTCTTAAGTAGCAAATCAACTTCAAATCGCTTGTCGAAGCTTGGGAGTGACTTAGCTAATCCCCTCTAATCTAGAGGGTCTTTAGAGGTTTGTACCTTTCCTTTAATTACCAATAATTACAAAGTAATTACCAAGCCCTCAACAATCACTTCTTATCTTGAAACTGATTAAACTTTATCTAACAGTTGCAAAATCCAAGCGTTACTAAATCTTTGAGATTGTTAATCAGAGTTTAAGTGGAATTAAAATTGAATTTATGATTTAATTTGTTTACAGAGCTTACCTTCATGACGTTTGAGTTTTCGTTTGATAAACAATTTTATGGACTGTTGACAGTTGTAATGTACGTTGAGTAGTCAAACGATTAAGGTGTGCTTTCTACTTGTGATAGTAAATACAAAAAAAGAAATAACTAGAACACGTTACAATGCAATTAAAAATACTTATTGCTGTAATTTTTGTGTGAATCTTTAGAATTCTCTAATGAAACCTCTTTAATAATGTAGTTAGTTTTTCTTAAATACAAATAAATATTATAAACATAAATATAAATCTTAAGCTTCCTTTAAACGTGATAGAAGACACACGACGGGCAAGCACTAATCTTATGTGCCATGACTTGCAGACGAAGCGAATACAAATCTTCTTCAACTTCAGTACGTTGAATCGTAAAAATATAACTACAAGGATAAACCAAATTGATGCATTCACTTATATTATCAAATTTAATATTGTGTTTGCTACGAATGAATGGTCACACTTACAAAAACATGCATCCTAACTAGTGGCTTGACTTAATTCCGGTGTATGTGCTTTCAATATCGGCAAAAAGTGTCACAACTAGCTCGTAGTTAGTTTTCTAGTTTTTAGTAGTTCTCGCATATCTACTAGCTGTGTACCCGTTCTACGCACGGGGATCTTATAATATTCAGTTGAAACCTTCTTATATAAAGAACAGCAGTTGGTTTGCATATTTTAAGATATGCTGGCCAAACTATTATACATAGCTTCATTTTATGTTGTTTTTTGTTGTTCCGGATCGGTATATTTTTACTATCTGATCTCGTTTGCATGGCTCAATCACGTCCTGGTTGAAGTTCGTTCGCTACGCTCACTCACCTGTATGTTGGAGCTCGTTCGCTGCGCTCACTTTCCTTCAGGTTAGCTCGTTCGCTACGCTCACTTGCCTTCAGGTTAGCTCGTTCGCTACGCTCACTCGCCTCCAGGTTGCAAATTAGCTGTTGTCATAAATGTAAAAGAAATAATAGTGCTAGTGCTGCACCCTGTTGGTAATCCTTGTAACTTTAATGCTATTGAACATCACAGAACAGAACCAACTTGTTTAATTGAAACAGCTGTTAAGATTCAATAATTTCATTTCTCATAAGGTTAACATGGGCTTCCAGAAATTCCACGTCAAAAATCGACAAAAACTTGATTTTCAAGGGTTTACTGTTAAATATCTAACTGTCTCATATTCGATGAAATACGTCTAAAACCATCTCATATATGTATAGTATTTGGAAAATAAGTTTCAGGCGGGACAGTGCTATAGTTATTGAGGAGTAGTTGTAATAAAGTGCGTATTTTAGCGTTACCAAGAGAATGACAGATAGACAGACAGACAGACAGACAGACAGACAGACAGAAATTGAGATAAGGTTTGATTCGGTTTCTCTGACCTATGAAATGTAAAAATAACCAAAAAGTTCATTATTCTAAGCAATGTACAGACAAAACTCTAATTTTATTTATATAGATTAGTAGGCTACATCACTATAGGTAAACAATGTTACTAGACCTAGTCTATAGATATGTTAAGAAATTATGTTTGTCTATGGTTAAGATTACTGATCGTTATTCATAACGCAAAACACATATCAGTAGCTCTTTGAGATGAAAATATGTTCACGATTATAGATTTTTATATCACGACTAGTTACTCGACCTATCGATATGTTTAAGACTATCGATACCTTATCATACCTCAACATGTATTTCAACTTCAACCTATCGATTTGTTTAAAACTATCTATTGTTAATCATACCTCACAACCTGTATTTCTCGACCCATCGATATGTTGAGAGTATCGATCGTCGTCTCACATCTCGCAGATGTTAACAATTCATGCGCTAAGAGGATTGCGTCGGTTACCACAAATCCTGCTCAAATTGCTTTTATCGATCATTACTTTTCCTCAATAAATTAGTGGCCTTTTACCGGTCATCAGATTTGCTCCCTTTAAGACGTCTTTCGTCTCTTACTTTATTACTTAAACCTAACTGTTATTGCACAGTTTTGCTCTATGAATGGCCATTGTATTACTTTGTCCTACAAGTTTATTGACACAAATCTTTAAGGATATTTTTCGTGTCTAAAAAGAAATAAATATATACTTTAATAATTTTAATTGAAATGGTGACCATAAGAATGTAGGTATTTTAAGCCAAGTATATGAATTGAGATGAGTTGAATGAGTGGTTGGTTCTTGTCGACTTTTTACTGACATTACGACATGTTCCTTAGACAGGACTATTAATTAAAGTTGATTTCATTTTCAATCCAGTTTCAGCATAACTACTATTTATTAACATATTAAAAAAATATCGTGAAGGCCTATAGTTTTTAAGGAAATAAACGATTTAAGAACTGTTTAAAATATCGAAAATATACATTATTCCGTAATTTATGATTTATCTGTGTCTTTACTCATCAATAAACACATCTATCAATACAAGACAGGGGAAGGAGATGGAATCGATGACAGAAATGACACCAACGCTTCTGCAGGGGATGATATGAGTATTTCTTGGAAGGGGATGTCTGCCCTTACATCCTTATTGGTGGCGAGGGGTCTTATTCGTTCTCAACAACCTCAGAGAAAAAAAATATTCTCTGTGGTGTAAAAATATGTCAACAGATTTAAAGAGAGCTGGAAGTTGTAGGTAGTTTATTTACCATAAGTTGTAGATAAAAACTCTTATGATCATGAATATGTTACAATAGGAAGAAAATCTCAATCAAGAAGATTATAAAAGTAATAACTTTACAGTAATTTTAACATCAATTGAATTTAAAATCATTCAAAAAATTATTCATGCCCACGTTTATGCACATTATCGCTATACATAAACAGTAAAAGATGAATAAGTCGAAATATGCAGTTTTTCCATAAATAGCATTTAAACATTAAATATTCAATAGTGGGTGAAACACAATGAAATAATGATACCAAAAACCCGTTAATACATATTTAATTACAAATTGTTTATAGTAATTTATTTAGCAGAACTAGCTCTCAAGGCGGGCGTTGTACCATAGTTCCCTAAATATTGACTTCAAAATCTAATCTACTATTTGTTTGTAGGTTTGCGCAGCCCAGACCACAGCTCCGGAGAGTTTTCTCCTCCCGCGGCCCCCGACCATGGGTTCTGCCCCCGGTTGTGGACCGCCCCCAGGCAGGAGTATCTGCCTCCAGCATATCTGCCTAGGTACCCGCCCCCGCCAGGACATAACTCCGGTAGGTGTTGCTAGTATCGTTGCTAGTATCGGCACTTTGTATTTATCTTTTACATTAAATGAGAAGAATAACCTAATTAATTGAATGGGCACTACGTCTAAGAATGTGCTATACGAAATGATCCCAACAGTCGAATAGTAAATATTTATTCAACTCAAATCACAGCCTCGAAGAATTTAAAAATCTTAAATCGTAACTTTTTAAGATGTTGTCCCTAACTGACCAAATTTTTGGTTGAACCGAAGTGCCAACCCCCGACAGCTTCACTGGCGATTATAAGACCACAGACAAGCTACAGGACCCTTGTCAATTCCTTTCTATGTCGTATTTCCGGAACCAACTCCGTTCATCCTGATAGTAAATAATAGAGATCTAAAAAATATGACATTGAATTATGGATTTAATAGGATGTTTTTCTTGACAAAAAAAAGTAACCCGCATAACCTTGAGGGCTTTCAATGGTATACATTTACTAAACAGGTTGATACTTAAACAAAAAAATAACTTATAACAGCCTATTATTGGTATCAGTATTACAGAACTGCATGTAAAATTATACTTTTATCTACATCCACACTCGTATTGTAAATTTAAACGTTAAACTACATTTTCGTAATCGAAGTTATCTAAATACAAATAAATGAATACCACCGCAACAGTTGAAATTACCATTATACTCACGTATACACACCTACAATTATTAATTACTCACACATTTATTTATATTGATACAAATTGCACTCGAATGATAAAAACAATCGGATCGAATTGGGATGTTAAACAAATCATCGTGTTTGTCTTTAAATTACCACCGGACAAATGTGTGTTTTACCGTCGGAAATTATGAGATAAAATATGATTTAACCACTTTTGTGGCTTAGTGGTGTGAAACAAACAAAACAAATGAGAATAAAACGCGGCCGTTGTTTTTATAATGCCGTATTACTGTTAAATAAAGCCCATGGCGGTGGGGAGGTGTGAGGGGGGAGTTTAAACAGAGGTTATGTGAAAACAATCCACTTTTTGAGATTTTATAGAACAAACACTGTGTGTTTACTTTGACCGAACTAAAACTCGTAAAATGCAGCTAATTTACAATTCAATTTCACACCGACAACAAAATCGCTATGAATAAAACGGGGGATTATTTTGTAATTAGGTTTTTGTTGGCAGTCACAACAGATATTACTTTCGAAATATTTATTTTAGTTTTCCCAGAACCCTATTGCTGACTCAATTTGTGGTAACTTTGTGTCGCCTTTTTATCGTGGTAATTTACGATTGATTCGTTTTTCGCTTTGTTTTGGTTACTTTGTTTGCCGAATGTTTGTTTGGGTTGGGTCAACAAGTTTTGGTAGTTCAAACTGATTAGAAGAGTTAGGTTGACGTTGTGAAAAATCTATTAAGCTTAGTTGAGACAAAGTGTTTATTGTTTTTTGAATAAACTAAACGATAAAATTGGCTTGGCACCTTTTCGTGATCGATCCACCGTTTGTTATACATTAGATTAGATTTCCTGAGCTTCATTGCGCGATTCTAAAATGTGTCCTGCAAATCGTGGTCGAAATCGTCCTCAATGAGTGTCGCGACTAGATACGTTTCGTTAGACTGATCATGAGAAACCACGTTATTTTTTTACGAACTATAACCCTTGTGTTTTGGAAGCAGAGTGTTTTGACGATCATTTTCATATGTTATTAATGGAGAGAACTCCGAAAATTGCCTTCTGTAACTACATACTACTGATATCTTGCAAAAGATTTTCAATTAGCAAAAGTGTTGCACTAAATTAAAATGTGTCCTATTAATATAAATCTTGTTCAAACGTATGCGGAAAGTGGTTTAAAATCAATATACAGTAGAGAACCCAATACATTCGAAAATTAAAATGCGTTAATACACAAACAATTTTGTATAACATTTATGGTATATAAATTAAAATTAGTTACATGTTATCATTTTATAACACCAGGGTGATTTTAGTATAAACAGATTTTTCTTATTTGTATTGAAATTGTAATGTTGGGAGGTCAAGTATTGGATATGGTTACTTCCGCAAGATGAACATTTAATAAACATCCATTCATTAATTATATTTTTCTCATAATATATCAGGTTAATATATCATTGTGTATGTAACCAGCTCTACAGGATTGTAAAATAAATAAAAAAAACTTATTTGATACTTTTTTAAACAAAGTGTTCATACCCTTACACCTCCCATCACAATAAAAAAAGAAATTTATCTCCACCACAAACCTCGATAATTCCCTTGTTTTTCAACAGCACTCAGCAAGAAAATCCAAGTTATCGTCCAAACTTCCAAAACCTTTTAGCCGAGAAGAGGTTGGTGGGAATCTGGAGGCTGTATTCACTATTGGGGATGTTTTATTAAGCAGGGAGTCCATCGCATTTAGGTTGGTGCACCTGTGTCCGCCGGCGCCCGTGTGGTGGCACCCCTGCTTCCTCTACCCTTACCCTACCACAGCTGCGACTTGCTATCAAATCTGCCCAGGGCTCACTTACCCGATTGCTGAGCTAGGGTACTGCGATTTTATTGGAGAATTTATAGGTTAATTTTGACTACAGTATAATTTTTAATTATATGGGTTAGAAATTTGAAGGATTACGCTAAATATTTGAACTCCACGACCATCATGATACGTATTGCTATAGTCGTTCTTGTTTTTATCAGCGGAGAAAAAATACCCACCATAAATTAGATAAACTATTTAATACAACTAAATATCAGAAAAATTCCCGGCAGTAAATTTTCTTGTTTTGATTTAGCTAGGAGTATGCTCCGATAAGTAATATATGAGAATAAACTATGATGATTCAATGCATACAATTTTGTTTTCCAATAACAGTAGTATGTATTTCAACTCTTACCAAAAGATCAGGTGTGTAGAATCGTCAGAAATGTTTTGTCGGAATTAAATTAACACAGGTCTGGTTTATATAATATTTTTTTATCTTTATTATATGAATTTTAAATGAACAAATAATTGAAATCATTGTTTTTGCCAAAAACATTTAATATAAATAAATAGTGACGATTTCTGTCTGTGTATGTATCTCTCTGTATGTTCAGGGTAAAAATAAGTACTATTAAACCGTATTGGCTGCAGTTTTACACAAACATCATGAACACTGCCAACATCTAATCTATATGTTGAATAGGCCTATGCCTATTCAGGTGTGTCGTGGAGGGTTTCAAGTAAGGCAAGGAGTATGAGGCGGTAAAATAAAAGAATGATACAATTTTGTAGATGAATTAATTATAAGTGATCTACTAACAATCCATATGTTTCATGCTTCTGATTTAGATTGGTTTTCAAGATTTCACTTTTGAAACAATTCCACCTATTTCACAAAATGTATCTTTTACAACCGATCGAAATGTCCGCTTATCATCGGATGACAGCCGATCACGGTTTGCTAGGGACGCCGCCGTGTTGACATGTGATAAAACAAAGCCGGCCACACCGTTAGTTCCTTATCAGCGTCAAATCCCGCCTCCGATAACAGGGACTAAATGAAATCGGCCTGATGTGTTTATGGCGCCGATCCCATAGTAAATCATGGACTATCTGAGCTGCGGCAAACAGCGGAATGTCGAAACTATCGATTCTTGTGGTTCGAGAAGTGGAAACGTTGGAGATTTTGTGGAAGATTTTTGATTTGAAATGTCACAGTTGAGATTGGAGTTGGAGTTTGTTGGTGGTTAAGACCAAAGCTCTCACAAGAGGTATATGAACAATCCATTTATAACTTCTTATTCTAAAAAAAAAAAAAACATTATATTTTCTGGGTATAATATAACCGAACACGGTCATAGAGATCGTCTTAAAATATGAAGGTCGCTGGACCCATTACGAGCGAGATATATTCTGGACCAAGATCCCATTTGTCAAAGCATCACGACCAGAAAGAGTCAAAAATTCCAATTGCGTTGAAAACCAATTACAATATCTATAAACAAACATCCTACAGCTTATAGCCGCTCAACTTCCTACCATACTCCTTGGGTTCAAATTAAACCGTTATAACAACTAGAAACATTTAATGAAATGTTTATTTTATTATGTTAACTATATTGAGTTATATACCACTGTTTACTATCTGTTACATATACATAACGAATATTACATAACGAATATATACATAGCTTTGGTTTGGAAAAACAATAACAAATTAATGGTGTTTTGAGTGCAATTGTAAGACCCAAGTAGCAAAGACGTTTTTAGAATGGATCTATTAATCTTAGAGCCGATTTCGCAAAAATCTGAGAAAACTATCAACATACGATTTAATAGCTATAAGAATTCAAATTATCTCACCATACTTAAAAACCCTTTCTGGATCTTGTATCTGAACTCTTTCGTGCCAACTCCAGCAGTTGCGCAAGAAGCTATCGACTCATACTGATGAAGGCAAATGAAGAGAATTAACTGTTGTCGTTTTCAATCCCGGCGGCGGCACACACAGACTCATCAATGGAACTGATTAATGCAGACAATTAGTGCGACCGAGACTGAGTTGACCTTGTGTTGACCTCTGGACAGTGGACAGCTGGTCACACAGTGCGAGGCTTTGCTTCGAACGTCCGAAAAGTCCGTTAATGTCCTCGAGAATAATGTGCCTCTATGGAAGTGGGTCGAAAGAGGTGACGGGCCTGGCACTGCTTCGAAATAGATTCCTCCAAAAATAATAAAAGTTAAGGAAATTATCCATATTTTATCAACCACTTAGGCACTGCCTCGTAAATACGCATCACCTAGGCACTTTTCCGAAAAGAGGCACTGATTCCAAAGAACATACACGGTGAAAAAAATTTGTTTGGGACTTGAGGTTCTGTCAGAGTGTTAGATATTACAGGCTAAGAAGAGGTGTAAGAGGGTTTCTGAAAATTAGTTTAAAAGTGTATAATTCATTGCATGAAAACTTAGGCTCAGTTCAATATACTTCAAGACACGAGTGTCATCGTTACAATCGAG